GATTTTCCACACATATTCTTGGGCCTCCTACGCAGCGGAAGTTTATTTCAGTCGAGCGCCACGCCCCCTCTAACGCCCACAATCGCCCACTAACGATTTTAAAATGTGTCCTGCGCCCACATCTTTAAACATTTTCGAGAAGTATAAATGCAATTTTGTTGTGTATATTTATACCTATCGCAATGTAGAAGACATTTTTTAAATCGGACCATTCATTAAAAAGTTATACGCAATCAAAAAAACGTTATATATCCATCTCCCTCGCACTCCCTTTAGCCGAGTGACGGGTATTAGATAGTCGGGACACCAACCCGACTATAGCGTTCTCTCTTGTTTGTTTATCGCTCCGTTGTCCCGGCAGGCAAACTAAAGTACGGACGAGTCAGGCTTTTTTTTTAAATATTACCTACCCAACCCGACCCCAAAATTTTCAGGTCATTTGGGTTTGGGTAAAATCAAACTAGCCAGGTCAAATGGGTTTCAAGTAGGTCAGTTGGGTTTCGGGGTTACCCAAACACTTTTTGCTGGGGCTAATAATTTCTATTAATTTTATAAAAAATATATTTAATAAATAAGTCGATATTATGTGAGCATTATTTTCTTAACTCATCGCCTAGTCGCGAATTCTTGAGGTCCATTTTTTATATATCATTTTAATATATGCAAATAATCTACTCAATTATTGGCTGCGACTTCTTGCGGCCCAAAAGGTCAATAACATTTAACACTTATAATTTTAAAATAAAGATTAACCGACCCTCGATGTTCAGAAGACGCAACATATTGGGAAATGTTAAGAAGGGAGGGACGTTCAATATCTTGCGCCCTCATTAAAATGTCTGTCCTGCCGATTTTCGAATCTTAGGAATGGCCTGTGGATTAGGGAGTCCAATCTTTAAGGACCTTTTTTCCATGTCAGCTGTTTCAAACAAACCAATGTAGATAACATTAGACAATAACACATAATTGGTCAATTTTATTGTAAATGTATTTAACAAATTATAGTCAGTCTTTTTTGTAATATTGTTATTAAAGGATAATAATTTAGCAAATTATAATCAGTCTTTTTCTGTAATGTTGTTATGTAAAAACATAATTTCCTTGACCATTCGATCGCTTTTTATCAATGCCGACCTTTTTTCTGTTATTAAATTGCTGGCTTGGGAAAATGAACGCTCGGAAGATGCGCTGCTCGCCGGAGTTCCCAAAATTTGGCAGCTTGCTTTAAATAAAAGCGGAAATCTCTCTTTATTTGCTGCCCACCATTTTAGAACGTTGAAATCATCTGTCAGCTTTACAACGGTATTATGATACTCCTTCACCTCACTCTCGACAATATTATGATTTGAATCGTCCCTTAATTGGCCAACCCAATCACTGAATAGCGCGTTGCTACTTAATGATCCGACAGCATTTTGAGGGGGGTTGGTGTCCGTTTCCTTACTGACATATTTGTTTATGTAAAGTTTGCAGTCTTCCATAATGCTTTGCCTTTCGTCAGAATCAATTAATATTAGTTTGTTGGCAGGAGGAAACAAAAATACCGCTAATTTGTGAAAATGTGTTATAAATTTTGATAGAAGGTCCGAATCCATTTCGCTAAAACTACACTTTTTTTTAAATTTTGGAGATGTGGGATAACCAAATGTAAAGTGGGGTATGAATCTCCTTCCAACTCCTTAGACGACCGCTCAAATTCGGCCAGCAATTTTGTCACTTCCTTTAAATTTCTTAAGTTTAAATCATTTAAACGTGACTCCTGCTTCTTCGTAATCAATATTGTATTGATCTCACTCCATTCAAGCTCTATAGATCGCATCGTATAGAAAATGGTATTCCAACGAGTTGGACAAAATCCTTTTAGCGAATTTTCCATCTTGGAATTTTCTCCCGATTTCTTGAAAAATTTGACCAGCTTATTGCACGAATCCGACATTGCTGCTAGCTCCGGCACATTCTTAAATGTTTTTTCTATCACGTTGTTCAAAAGATGATTGACACAATGGTGATGATTGATATGGGAGTGGTTTTTATATGCAGCTATCATGTTCGCGCCACGATCGGTTACGATTATGGGATCGTCGAATTCCAAATTACATCCAAACTCTTTCAAACAGTTTTGAACACGTTTTTTTAAGTTAGCGCCTAAAATAAAATAAAATTGTTATTTTGTAAACTTAAATAATGTTAATTTCATACCGGTTGATGGGTCAGCATCCATTGACTCTATTCCAAGAACCCTGCTTATAAAGCTAGCATCACAAATATAATGCATTGTGACCAAAACGTACGATGCCTGCGTAAAATTTTCTGTCCAAGCATCAGTGGTGACGCTATAAGCCATATTATTGGTTTGAATAGATTGGATTTCGATTTTGACCCTAGAAAATTCTGTTTTATACAGGTCGGACACATTCCTCGATATTGTGGTTGGGTGAGGAAGAACGTGTTTCGCTTTCAACCCATTTCCATAATTTGCTCCTAAATGGATTAGGAAATCTGCAAATTTTTCCAAGCCTTCATCAGCTATTATTTGGAATGGTCTACAATTTCTTATTGTCCACTCCGTTGCTATTTTGGTCAGTCGTTGCTTACTATCACGATTCAGATGAACAGTATTAGCATCTCGTTCTTTTTCCGATGCAGTGTAGCATTTATGACGCTTTAGGTTAGACGTACCGTGAGAGGCGGATTGGACTTTGTAGCACTTTTTGCAAGCTACTACATTTTTAACGATTTCGTCCTTTTCATTTATAATACTTGCAAAAATATTCCACACATTACTTCGTCCGCGCTTCTTACTCATCGAGTACTGTCCGGATCTTATCTTGTTACTTATCAAAGTAAATTCGTCTATCCGTTTGTCGGCAGAAGAAGAACTTGAGTTCTACATTTATCCATAAAAGTTACCACACTTATGTGCATAAATACCGTGGAATACTTACACTTGTGGATTCCTCCATTTTTCTAAGTTGCTGCTCACTGAACGTACAAATATTTCGATTCAATATGAAAATGTAATAGAACTGAAGTAGAAAGGGTTACTTGAAACCCAACCCAAACCGACCTTACCTATAATATTTTTTGACCTGACCTACTTGACCTGTTTTTGTTTTGGGTATTTGGGATTGGGTAAAAATTTACCCGTTTACCCAAATACCCAAACCCAAACGACCCAGGTCAAATGGGTTTCAAGTAGGTCAGCTGGTTTTAAGGTTTGACAAAAAAGTCAGGTTGCTTGTGCAGGGCTCTATTCTATACACCAAACATTTTGTTTATTTTTTTCAAATATTTTAAACCTAATTACATGCTTTAAATTTAATTTTTAAAAATAATTTATTTTTTTTATTTATAAAAATCTTAAACAAAGAGTATTTTGGATTTTATTGTGTCTTAAGCTTGAACTAAGTACACAACTTTAGCAGACCAATATTTCCAGTTATATTTTTACCTAATGTAAAATATGAAAAACCGCGAGTTCTTCAGAAGATGATTTATTCAGATACTCTTAGACGCTTTATCAGACAAAATAAAAAACCGCGATTTCTTCAGGAGATGTCATTGTATGTATGTCATTTGTATGTCTTTACTCGTATAACAGCAACACCAATGGCGTTTTATCAAAAAACTTGAAAACAGCATATTCTTTAGAAGATAATAGAAACAGTAATTGTAATGCACCTGGTGCTAATTCTTAAGTTATTTACCATATATATACTTTCAAATAGATGTTCTATATATTAGCTTTAATTTTTGAAAGGACCGAAAAAATTTATTTTCAGTCGAGAACGGTCAACCGAAAACCGAAACAAACTGAAATGAGGGGTTTCGCCCAGACCGAAGCCAAACTTGTTAACAACAAAAGAGCCTTTAGATCTGAAATCTCAAAATAATTTATACATTTTTATTTGTATTTTTTTAAGTAAATGAAAACTAGATATAACCAAAAAACGCCAGAAATAAAACTTTTTTTGAACTTTGACAGGTTGTACCTCCATTAATTGCAACCCGATCACAACGAGTAATAGCTTTTCGGAAAGGTGCATCTATTGCCTTTTAAAAATTGTTAGTTACAAGTTTATTGGTCTAAAGGTTCTTGAGATCTGTTACGTTTTATAAAAGAAGTGCCGAAAATCTGGATTTTTGCGAATATCTTCAGAACGCTTCTTTGGGAATTTTTTTTAAATTTGTTCAGCGTGATAAGCAACTCAAAACTAATCAAAAAAAGTTGGTCTTAAGGCTTACACCGGAACAAATTTAAGGTTGTAAACTAGTGTAATAAGAAAGCTGCTAAAATTTTGTTTTATATGTTTATACGCATGTAAATCTAAATTTAATGTTTTTGTAAGTTAATAAGAATGATTTGCAAGGGTATATAAGTTTCGGCTTGCCGAAGCTAGCTTCCTTTCTTGTTTTCCTTTCTGCTTTATCGGGGGTGTCACTGAAATCTCTTCCAAGAAAAGACGGTTGGTATGTTTAATATAAGATTTCTGTTACATCCCATGTACATTTATTTTTTTTTTATCCTGAGGTATTTAGAACTTTAAGAGATTTGTCAATCTAAGTACTCCCACCCTTGCGCGAAAAATCTCGACAAAAGATGCATTTTGTTTTTTTAGTTTTTTTTTAATATATATCACACTAGGTGGTTTTATATGGTGGTTAAAGTTTTTTCAAAAGATACACTCTTTATCTTTCAAACCCCATACTTAGAATAATGTTGGATTTTTTTAAAGGAAGAGAGAAATTCAATTAATTTGAATTAAATAAAATAGTAGTAGTGTTGCTGCCCTGTGTTTTTAAAAATTTGTTGTTGTAATTTATCTTCTTCTGGTGATATTGTGGTTTTGTAGTTTTCGAGATATCAGCGTTCATACGGACAGACAGACAGACGGACATGGCTAGATCGACGTGGCTAGTGATCCTGTTACATACTTTTCGAACAATGCAATATACCCCTTTTACTCTTCGAGTAACGGTAAAACGTATTATACACTTACAGCGGAATCCTTAGTTGTACTATCTCCAGCGTTTCCTACAGAGGAAACATTTTGTGGCTTTGTTTGTGTAGTTCCCGAACCACTTTAAAAAAGATTACTTTAAGTTCATTTATCTAATATAGTTTTATTACTTACCCAATTAAAGGAGTTCTTAGACTTAAAAATCCATTCAATTTCCTGTTAATGTTATTTTGAAGAGGAGTCGTGATAGCTTGTGTTACCGGCACTTGCGGTTTTGTAGGTGGATTACCGGAGTCAGCAATATCCTGAGCAGCCCTTCAAATTAAGAAATAAATTTTAATATTTTCGTTTAGACATCAAACGCCTAAGAAACCATTGTTTTTATAACCAGCAGAATTTTCATATTATTCTGTATTAATAGAACTATATGAACTATATTAGGACAACGAAATAAAAAAAAAATAAGGAAGCTTTATGTGAAAGACGTTAAATGGATATAAGACAATACAAATTATTTACCCTCAAAGCCAATTCTTAATCTTCATCGGGGGTGACACTAAATTTCATCGGACTTCAACTTACCTAAGACTATAGCTACTAGATTCTTCGTCTTCATTTGGTTCAATAAACTGTAATTGGGATCTTTTATGCCTCCACCACAAGTATCCGCCAGCCAGAAAAAGAGCGATAGCAATAATTAGACCCAATACAGCCAGACAAGCTATAAGAACTATGCTCGCCATATCTGCAATTGGGATTCAGAAAAAGACAGTTTTATTTTTCATATGATGTCGCACCCTTATATGTGATATCAAACAAGATTATGTAATATTAAATATATATGAACATACACATTTTTGTAAGTACATGCATATAAAAACTTGTTTTTGTATAAATAAATAATATATAAAGTTGTACAACACCAATCTCGTTTTACACCAACGTTATATTTTCTACAACATTAAAGATTAAAAGCAATTCTGATTTTTTTTCGAACTGAGAAAGATAATACATTTTTCGTCGAATAAAGTCGTACTTTAATCTTCAAAGGTTAGACTTTGTTTTGTTTGTTAAATTTTCGTATATCTGATAAATTACACATTTTTAATTTTTAAACTGTTTTTTTTTTGAGCACCGAAAATTTATGTTTATGTATTTAATAATACAGGCACACTAAGGTTGCAGCTGCCGGAGTGCTCAAAAGAATTATGAAAAGACCAAACTGATATGAAAAACATAATAGTTAAGGTTCTATCTGCTTGTAAACGGCCTTGCAAAAGTGCATGTATAGTTATTGTAACAAGTTTAGGTCTTTCCTTTGAATTATACAAAAAAAAAAAAGCTATATTTTAGTTCAAAACAAATTTATTCTTAAAACAATACGTTCGTATAAGTTAATATCGAGCTACTTATGGCAATGAAAACACGTCGAATACATTTTTTTATAAGAGTTTAGGTTCGGGTTCTTTTGCATGGAAAGCTCGACTCCGTGCGCATGACAATAGAAGTCTACATGAATGAGAGCGAGAACCATGTCCTGAAGTGCTTTTAAACTTTTTTACGTTTTTTGAAATATAATTGTGACTTTTCACGGCGAGCATAAAGTTGTTATTTATTCCACGTTTAGCACAGAACCAAAGAAAACGATCTATGTTATTAATGTACGCAAATACCTATTAATGGGAATTTTTTGGTTACTCGTTACTCGTAGAGTAAAAGGGTATATTGTATTCGTGCAAAAGTATCTAACGAAGGAAGCATTGCCGACCCTATAAAGTATATATGTATATGTGGGTGTGTCAGCTATGGGAGGCAGTCATTCCACAATTTACCCTAGACAACAACCTTTTTGAGCGAACGAGTCACTAGGAATGCAAGAACAGACGAAGTAAAGAAGTGTTGTCAGATGAAAATGTTGCTTTCCCCCTAAAAAATCCAGAAAACTCTTAAAACTCATTTTCTTACGCTCTTACGCTCGCTCTGCCTGTCTCGCTCGTTTTGATTGCACTTCACGTTGTTTCGTTACGTTTTAATTGCACTTTTCGTTGTTTCGTTACCTTTTGATTGCACTTCACGTTGTTTCGTTACGTTTTGATTGCCAGCGGCCAAAAGATGAAAAAGACGCGTGAAATTCCAAATTCCAAAGAATCCACGCCGTCGGTTTCTTATCCGCTCACAAATATTAATCCGTTAGTTTTGATTATTACGTGTAAATTACATGAAAATAAAAAAGAACAAAAATTCCACGAAAGACGAACGCAAAGACACAGCACAACTACAATGCAAACAAGAGACAGCGCTATAGTCGGGTTTGTGTCCCGACTATTTAATACCCGTCACTCAGCTAAAGGGAGTGCGAGGGAGATGGATACATACAATTTTTTTGATTGCGCATAACTTTTTAATGAATGATCCGATTTGAAAAATGTCTTCTACATTTCGATAAGTATAAATATACACAAAAAAATTGCATTTAAACTTCTCGGAAATCTTTAAAGGTGTGGGCGCCAGACACATTTTAAAATCGTTAGTGGGCGATTGTGGGCGTTAGAGGGGGCGTGGCGCCCAAGAATATGTGTGGGAAATCTCAACCTTTTGTAGTTTCCAAGATCTCTGCGTTCATACGGACAGACAGACGCATATGGCTATATCGACTCGGCTAGTGACCCTAATCAAGAATATATATACTTTCTAGGGTCGGACACGCTTCCTTCTCCCTGTTACATACTTTTGCACGGTTTTAAGTCTTGAAATACAAAGCCTCTAAGTGATGGTGTTATACGAGTAAATATATACAATGACCATAATTTTCTGAAGAACCCGCGGTTTTTATTTTGTTTGATAAGGCGTCTAAGGGCCGGTTTCTCGAGTGCCGGCTAACATTTCTCGACCAGATAAAGTCCCTGCTTAGTCATTTTAGCTTTCTCGGGCATCAATGTGAGAGCTAACTTTAACAGGGACTCGGAGTCCCTGTCAAGCGTTTTCGGCTCGATAAAACAACAGCTAATTTCCCTTGAATTATACCCAAACAGCTGATAGAACGCCAAAGCACACAATTTTTTGCGCTTTACAGCACATTCTGTGCTCTAAGAGCACTCTGTAATTGTTTTTCGTTCAGATAAATTAAAGGAGTTGAGAAAACCGATTTGCTTTTACGAACAGTTTATCTGGTCTTTAAGTTTTTCGGACAGATAGCTATCAAGGACTTTAACAGGGACTCGAGAAACCGGCCCTAAGAGATAGTGTTATACTAGTAAACCATCTTCATCTTCTCATTGCTTTTTGTATAACTGCAAATATATATATTATAAGCCAATTATAATATCCAAAAAACTCTTTTTTTAAGATTTTTATAAATAAAAAAACAAATTATTTTAAAATTAAATTTAAATTTTTCGTGTATAGAACATATGATGTGTTTAAACACGTAGGTATAAAAAGTCAAATGACCGTTTTTGTTGAAACAGTTTTAAAACAAAACGAGGACGGAAGCTAACTTCGGCAAGCCGAAGTTTTAATACCCTTGCAGATTTCACTAATGAAAACTTGACTAAAATAGCAACATGAATTAATAAACAACAAAATATTCTATAATTGAAAAAAATAAAAATTTTAAATTTTTCACCCTTTTGTTCCTATGGGAGCTATATGATCTGCGTACACATGTTTTAGGACGACTGTGAAAGTTTCAAGGCGCTAGCTTTTAAACTGAGCTCGCAAACGGTATTGAAACAGACGGACAGACGAACAGACGGACATGGCTATATCGACTTCCCTATCGATCCTGATCAAGAATATATATACTTTATGGGGTCGGAAACGTCTCCTTCACTGCGTTACAAACTTCTGACCAAAATTATAATACCCTCTGCAAAACCTTTTAAAACAAAATAAGCCGTTTCTATCGGGGGTGTCACAGAATCCGTCGACGGATTTGGGGACGGTTGGTTTAGAAACCAACCGACCAAAAGAGAGAGATTTCCTTTTTTTCGGAAAATTTACCGAAAAACGGACTATTTTCCAATAACTTTTAAACTTAATTTATGTTTTTCTTGCAAAATTAAAAAAAGAATATATGTTTAAAGCGCATATTGTACACAATAAAAGAAAAAAATTAAAAATTTGAATTACCCGCCAGGCTACACATTGCAGCCCTGAACAGCGGTTTTCCGCGGCTGCGGTTTATTTACATTTATAAGTTGGCAAGAGATTTAAAAGCGAACCAAAATGCTCTAGAGTATTTGCGATGGCATAAACTGCGAGAGGCTAGGACGCAGAGGCGGTCCTTACAAGCGGTTTTACATGGTAGTCCATGGGGATTTAATTCATTGGCCAGGTCCAAGAATGCGGTCGCCCTGAGTAAATCCTTTGGCAATGTCGATATTATCGCGAATGAATCGCAAGAATATGGCGTCTTGCGCTGGTGACCTATGTTTACCCCTGAGAATTAGCACCGTTTATTAGTTTAAATTAATAATAAACAAAAATGTTGTACTTTTTTACGTATATTTCTTTCACGACAGTGATGCTAACTTTCTCAATAACTACATCTTTTACCTGAAATAAATTTTATTTTTAATACTAAGTACTTTTGAATGAATAATTCGTTAACACAACATTTCGATAACTAACTCCGAAATTTGGACAAATTTGGTATTTTAAAGTTCTAGCTAAATGGCAACACTGCCAGGTAGACGGTTTGCCGACGAATTTTTTTAAGCTAATTTTTTCGAGAGGTTTTATAAAAAGCATATTTTTAAATATAAACCGAAGTAAGTATAAAAATCGTAGTATGCAGGTAGTTCATAAAATTCATTAGAGTTGTCTTAAATAAAGTTATATTTTTGGGAAACATTTGTAAGTTGGGTAATTTTATCAAAACGTCCGGCAAAATACGGGGGTTTTAGAAACCGTCAAAAATTACGTCAAAATCGGTTGGAATGGTTTTCTGTGACACCCCCGATTGTATCCTTTTACTCCACGAGTAACGGTTTATACCGGTTTGGAAACCAACCCATTAAAACCGAAGGTGTCACAGAATCTGTAGGGTTTTCTAAGAGTTTCGGAGTAAATTTGCTCTGATTTTATGAACATTTGCTTCAAGACCTACTATTCTGTTGGTTTAAAATCGTGTACTTGATTTTTAAACGGTTTCTGTGACACCGAGATTTGCTTTTGGGGGGAAATTTGGTTGAAAGGGCTTTCTGTGACACCCCCCTATAACAGCTGACTGGCCCCATAAGTGCTGACCTATATATGCCTCTGCTGTTGCTGCTGAAGCTTTGTCACTTAGGACTTTACACACTTAGGGAAGATATCTCGACGGCCGGCTTACATTTTTCGAACCCTTGCAGAGGGTATTATAATTTCAGTCAGATAACTGCAACGCAGTGAAGGAGACGTTTCCGACCCCATAAAGAATATATATTCTTGATCAGCATCATTAGGCCGTCTTTCCGTCCGTTTCTCAGTTTTCAAGCTATCGGAATGTCCTTTATCTATTGCAAGTAGTATATATGTCGGAACCGTCCGGATCGGACAACTATATCTTATAGTTCACATAGGAAGGGAAGGAAAAAAACGTAAAACGTAACGTAGCTTTTTAAATATTACCTTCTACTCTTGGGAATGTTTTTTTTTAAATATTTCTGAATTTCGAATTCAATTTAAAAATAAAATGGAAATTAATAGGAACAAAATTATATTTTCCTTGAATTTTAATTGATCAAAAAATTAATGCCAAAATAATACGAAAGCATCTAAAATGTACATTGTTTTAAAAAGGAACATCTGAGTAACTGGAAAAAAAAACGGAATTTCTGGAAACGGAATTTTTTTGCCAATGAAGAAGCAAATCGAAAATTTGTAAAGTAGGTTTTATAATATTAAATGCGAAGTACAAAATAAATCGAAAACAAAATGGCGGCTGTGCAGCAATTCTTCGTAGGCCCTTTTTTGTTGAAGGGAGTCCATGGCCGTACAGCTAACGTCCTTAATTTTTGATCTAGAACAAAAAATCAAGTTTGGTTAGTTTATATACATCAACAGCTACCGACACACGTAGGTTTTTTGCGATATAATGATTTTTTGCAAAAGGATGAGTGATTGAAAAAAGTTAAAATTTTCACGAATAAAAACCCCACAAAATTGTTAATAAAAAAAAGTAAGCAATATAAAAAAAACAAGAGAGAACGCTATAGTCGGGTTGGTGTCCCGACTATCTAATACCCGTCACTCATCAAAATTTTAGAGGGGGCGTGGCGCTCGGCTGAAATAAACTTGCGGTGCGTAGAAAGGCCAAGAATATGTGTGGAAAATCTTAACCTTCTAGCTTTTGTAGGAGATCTCAGCGTTCATACGGACAGACAGACAGACGGACAGTCGGACATGGCTAGATTGACTCGGCTAGTGACCCTGATCAGAAATATTTATATTTTATGGGGTTGGAAACGCTTCCTTCTAGCTGTTACATACTTTTGCACGAATACAATATATAGATGTGTAGATGTGGATGTGTTCTTATTGGAGTCAAATCCAATTTAACTTCTGAGCTTGTTGATACTTCTGATTTATCTTGTATTAAATTTATTTCCGTAAAAATATCTTTCCCAAAAACGAACTTTTTTTCTAACTTGCTCCTATATACCCTCTGGCTCTGAATTTAATGTGTATCTATTAATCTTTGTTTTTGATAGTAGCGATGCTGAAGATAGTCGTACTCCACTATCTTTACCTGAAGATTGTTATCATCCTACCCTTTAGCTCTCGATTAATAGATTTTTTAAAGGCCCCAAAAATTTTTATAAATGTGCAGCCCTGTTTATGTTTTAAGGCCGGTTTCTCGAGTGCAGGCTAACATTTCTCGAACAGATAAAGTCCTTGGTATGACACATTCAGTTCGTCTACGCTGAAATTATCTCCATGTTGTTCTTCGTCAAGCCATTCCAGGTCTTCGCGTCCTTCGTGTAATTGAACCACTAAACATTCTCTTTTTCGCCGCCCAGCCACTAAAAAAATGTTTCTCTGCTTTCCTCTCTAAGTTTGTAGATATAATTAAAGGGAAAAAGTTTTTAAATAAATTCATATAAAATGATTACGTAATCATTGTGCAAGACCCCCCCTCCTCATGTAATCAAACATAATCATTTCAATGCCCCCCTCCCCCCCCTAGGTGATTACGTAATATATGGACAGCCCCTAAGAGGAATAAACGGAATCACGACTTTGCCGTTGACTTATACCCAAACAGCTGATGAAATAATCAAAGCACGCCATATTTGCCTTTACATCACAATTCTGTGCCCCAACAGCACTCTGTGATTATTTGTCGTTTAGATTAATTAATAGCCTCTTCTCATAAAGTCCATTCGTGTTAAACGGCTATGATTTTTGACAAATGTGAAATTCGTGTTCCCATAGCGTTTCCATCCACAGAGCAGTTGCGTAACTCAACTAAACGAAGGGGATTTTAACTCTTCAAAACTGTCGTAAAATGGTGTTCTTCTAATCTTATTGCAGAATAAATAGCATAAGATAATAGTTTAAAACAAATCTGAGCTTTTATATCATATCTTATAACGAGTATGCATACACATTGCTGACTGAGCCTAACCTCCAGTACCCCACAATCCGCTCTATTAATCAATATTAATATAGCGAATTTGTAAACAACCCCAAGTCTCTGCTGTTTTGGTAATTTATAACAACTTTGGAACTTTATAGGAGTACATAGTACACGTTTAATTAATATTAGTTATTATTTACGAAGTGCAGAGCATATTCGGAGTCTTTGCTGCAAACATTGATGTTTTCGTATGCAGAAGAGCATATATACATTTTGGCCCACTCATAGCAACCTGTTTGCAAATGCTTTTCCGCTCATAACTAACTATAAACACTTCAACAATAGCCAAAAAACAATGAGCTTATGCATTATTAAATTTTTTCCCGCCATCGATTTGATTTGTTCTTCCAGTCATCGTTCCATTTTTCACAGTCAAGAAGAAGAATTCAGAGTTGCATCGAAAAAACATCGCCTAACTATCGCATAAAAGAGCCCGTCAAAGTCCGTCAAAATTGGATGGCAGACTACCTGGTTAATTTTCGGAACGGCAAAACCTTAACCGTTCAAGGGATGGTAGATGGTGGATGGAGCTCTGTGGGAAGACCCTATTAAGGACCCGGTAGGAAGAGGCTATAAGGCGTAGTTATTTTTGCCGTCGCATCTGCTATCGGATGGTCTCCGTGAATAGAAGCTATTCTTTGTTCTGATTAATTTCAATAATAAATATTTATTTTTATAAATTTAATTAATTTTAGTGTGCTTTTAAGCATAGTGTCCATAATACCTTTTGCACACAGACCCTTAAAATCGCTGTTTCAAATGTAAGCGAAACTTTATCCCGACAGAGACTCGCCTAGGAGCACAACTTATCGGCGGTACAAACTACTCCCTAAACCGAAGGAAGAGGACTTGCAAAATTTGCCATGCAAATTCAGTTTTGCCTGAAAATGACAGAATTAAAACTCAAATCGAATTGCAATTTGGCAAACGCATAGTGAAAACTATTTTTGGACCAAAAGTGACGACAAGAGAATTACCGCCAATAGGACGCTGGAGGTTGATCTTTCCCTACAAAACTGCGTTGCAATACTTCTTTGCACAATAAAATCATTTTCCGAGTTCCGAGCCGTTGCAAGGCTCTATGTTTGTGCACCAATAACAATTTCCTTATATTTTTTTGGGTCATTGTAGTGCAAATGCATTCCTTCCCAAAAAAGTGCTGAAATACTGGAAGCAGAGTTGAAGTGACGCTCCCCGTCTCTTTCTACCACATTGATTTCTTATTTAGAAAAAATCGCTGAAGCGACCAAATGTCGCTTCAGCGAAAGCCACCTCTGTGTGCACAAGTTATTAGGGTGGGTCGATTTGGTAATCTGCAAAATGAAGGGCGGGGAATCTATTGACAATTCTAAGCAATATTTCCAAATAAATGATAACTTTTAATCCACGTTTGACCCTCCGCATTTGCAAGAAAAATATCTGAGTGGAACATTTGCTTAGACGCGAAAAAATTTATAAATTGTTTGGGCGAAACACAATCTTTGCTCCATTCTAAGACATATTGTCATGCATTTGCATGAGAAACATACTAGTTTTTCGTTATATTTTTTTAAAAAATATAATAAAATCTGTTACTGTTACTCAAACTAACAGTATTGAAAAAAGGTTTAGAAAGCACAAACAAAAGTGGATAAATTGAATTTGATAAATGTTTAACGGCTATTTTGATATTTTTTCAAAGGGTTGCCGCTTTGACGCTTAAACGATTTATAACTTTTTTCTTCCTAGATTACATCCCCCACGATTTAACAAACAAATCGAACCAGTCTAGTGTGTATGCTGTTTTTTTTTAAATTACTTAGGACTGACACTTTGGTATATTTTTAAAAAGAAGTGGGTTAATTTGTCAGTCCAAGTGCGGTCACTCTAATGACAAATCATTTTTGCGCGAAGTAAACCTGAGTTAAAAGTCTACATATGTTTATGTACCTTTAATTAAGATTCTTTTCATCTAAATCACAACATGATTATTACAATAAAAAACCTTCAACAGCAAACTTTTACCATTGAGTTTGCTCCGGAAAAAACGGTACGTGTTATTTATATGTGCATATATTACTCATATGTATGTATATATGTAATATCAGTAAAGAATTACATTTTTGCGAATATTTATGTATGCATAAAATAGTTTGATGCCATAATACAAAAATGCTTTTTTTAAAGGTTTTGGAACTGAAGAAAAAAATATTCGACGAACGCGGCGCTGAGTATGTTGCCGAAAAGCAGAAACTGATATATGCTGGCGTCATATTGACCGATGAGCGTACCGTTGGTTCATACAATGTTGATGAAAAAAAGTTCATAGTAGTGATGTTGACACGCGATTCATCCGGCTCAAAGCCTAGTCAAAATCGGCCGAAGGAAACTGACAAATTGACAAGCGCCAACGATTTAAAGGATTCAAAGGCTCCCGAAAATACTAAAGCTAGTAATTCCCCTGCGACTGCGAATACGGAGGTGCAGTCATCAGATGTAGCAAGTGAAACAGCAGTTACAGTTTCAAGACCTATATCCAGTAACGACTTAATCGGCGAGTTGGCCAATGCTTCCTTACAATCTCGCGCAGAATCTAACTTGATAATGGGTGACGAGTACAACCAAACTGTTCTGTCAATGGTGGAAATGGGTTACCCACGCGAGCAGGTGGAACGTGCGATGGCCGCCAGCTACAACAACCCGGAAAGAGCCGTTGAGTACCTCATTAATGGCATACCCGTTGAGGAGGAAGCTATATATAATGTTGTAGATGAATCCACAAATCCTAGCGTAGTCCCTTCCGGACCTCAAACTGTGTCCGGATCATCTGTCGATCGTCCGCCCGAATCTAATTCAGGTAACTATGCTGTTCTAATCGGGAGTGACGCGGAAATTCTTTTGGACGAAATTCCGATTGACTATTACTGATTATAACCTACAAATTCCAATTCGACCCGGAATTCCCATACCTAAGCACAGCTACCCCAGCGGCATTTTTTTCGTTTGCAGAAAGTAAAACATTTAGGGTTGTCGGATATTTTGTTTCAGCATGTTGATAGCTGTATCCAAAACTTTGTTTGTGGTACTACGAAAACGAATGTTCAATCTTTCGCTATTCCTATTTCGCTATTTTTTGATATTTTAATCTCAGAGCCCTTTTTATTTTATCTTTGAGCCCAAATCGCATAAACGATTCTCAAAAGGATAGAAATTCTCATCCAAGGATATGAAATTGCCTTCTAACGCCCACAATCGCCTTTAACGATCTAAAAGGTGTTTGCCGCCCACATTTGTAAAGATTTCAAAAAAGTAAAAATTTTGTTGTGTTTCTTTCAGGGACCGAAAATAACTGTTATTGTAAATTTTTCATACAAAAAAAATCACGCACTTAGAAAGGTCCAAAAAAATTTTTTAATACACCACTATTTTTATTAGCTAATGTAGTTTACAAATCCGTAATGATTTTTATTTTTTGATTTTTATAATAAAACTCTAAAAATAACTGTTATTTGTTGATTTTTATGTATTACAGTTATTCCCTTGACATGTTTCACAAAATGAAATAATTAAAAACGAGGACGGAAGCTAACTTCGGCAAGCCGAAGTTTTAATACCCTTGCAGATTTTACGAATTAAAACTTGACTAGACTAGCAACATGAATTAATAAACAACAAAATATTTTATAATTGAAAAAATAAAATTTTAAAATTTTTCACCCTATTGTTCCTATGCGAGCTATAGGATATAGACGCCCGATCGGCACGCGCGTTTACCCTAATGAAGGTACGCACAAAAAAATACGATTTGGAAAGTTTCATGGGAATAGCTAATATTTTGCGCGAAATATCCTGAAAAACGTCAAATTTTGACCGATTTCACCCTATTGTTCCTATGGGAGCTATAAGATATAGACGTCCGATCGGCACGCGCTTTTACCCTGATCAAGGTACGCACAAAAAAATACGATTTGGAAAGATTCATGCCAATAGCTCTTACACTGAGCGAAATATCTTCATTTTTGTGAAAGCTATATCCGATTGTTCCTATGGGAGCTATAGGATATAGACGTCCGATCGGGTCGGCTTTCAAACTTGATCTGCGTACACATGTTTTAGGACGACTGTGAAAGTTTCAAGGCGCTAGCTTTTAAACTGAGCTCGCAAGCGGTATTGAAACAGACATACAGACGGACAGACGCACATGGCTATATCGACTCCCCTATTGATCCTGATCAAGAATATATATACTTTATGGGGTCGGAAACGTCTCCTTCACTGCGTTACAAAATTATGACCAAAATTATAATACCCCCGCAAGGGTATAAAAATATAGTTATAAAATATGCGCGGTTGCCTTTTTTAACAATTTTTAGTAAATTACATAAAACACGATTAGCATGTTTTTATACCCTTGCAGAGGGTATTATAATTTTGGTCAGAAGTTTGTAACGCAGTGAAGGAGACGTTTCCGACCACATAAAGTATATATATTCTTGATCAGGATCAATAGGGGAGTCGATATAGCCATGTCCGTCTGTCCGTCTGTTTCAATACCGTTTGCGAGCTCAGTTTAAAAGCTAGAGCCTTGAAACTTTCACAGTCGTCCTAAAACATGTGTACGCAGATCAAGTTTGAAAGCCGACCCGATCGGACGTCTATATCCTATAGCTCCCATAGGAACAATCGGATATTGCTTGCACAAAATGAAGATATTTCGCTCAGTGTAAGAGCTTTTGACATGAATCTTATTCTTTTACGCATACCTTGATCAGGGTAAAAGCGCGTGCCGATCGGACGTCTATATCTTATAGCTCCCATAGGAACAATAGGGTGAAATCGGTCAAAATTTGACGTTTTTCAGGATATTTCGCGCAAAATATAAGCTATTCCCATGAAACTTTCCAAATCGTATTTTTTTGTGCGTACCTTGATCAGGATAAAAGCGCGTGCCAATCGGACGTCTATATCATATAGCTCCCATAGGAACAATAGGGTGAAAAATTTAAAAATTTTTATTTTTTTCAATTATAGAATATTTTGCTATTTTAGTCAAGTTTTCATTAGTGAAATCTGCAAGGGTATTAAAACTTCGGATTGCCGAAGTTAGCTTCCGTCCTCGTTTTAAATTTATTTCACCCACAAAATCGCCATAAATTAAGTTTGAATTTTATTTTTGATCACGACGAATAACTGTTATTTGTCAACTTTTATTATAAAACTCAAACAATAACAGTTATTCTTTGAGTTTTACTTTAAAAATTAGAAAATAACTGTTAAAGTGTGATTTTTAAAATAAAACTTATAACTGTTACGGTCCCTGGTTTCTTTATACCTATCAAATTGTAGAACAAATTTTTCAAATCGAATACGTTGAAAAGTTATGAGCAAATAATGGAATTCAAGCAGTGTCCCTCGCACAGTGGGGCACTCGTCTTCTCTCTTGTTTTCCCCTACGTTTAATGATATTCTTTGTAAAGCTATTTTGGTCCTTAAAAACAAACCATAATGCAAAATTTCTGAATTATTCTGTTTGTTACTCTCCAATAAAAAAATTCGATGTGTCCGATAAACATTGATATATGCATAATATCGATACTAACATCGATTCTTTTAAAACTCTACTCAGGACAATACATATCAAAATGGGCAAAATTGCAACCATCCATTCCACTATGGTCCGAGCGGCCGATTTTTTGGCATAAAGTCGAAATTTTTATGTTAATGTTTTGTATTTTTTATTTTAAATTCTTAAAGTTAATAGATCATATATATACAAACTTAAAAAAAAAAGCTTTAAAAGCTACACTAACGCTTTTTATGAGCTTTCAAAAGTACACAATCGATCAGCTGCTTAGGACTAAGAAATTGGCGCCATAATATTTTCTTTACGTTTGTGCAAAAAAATACAACTTCTTTGTCCCGACTAAATTAAGTAAATTATGGAAATGAAAGATCAAGGTATGTAATATTTAGTGTGTATAGTACATTTATGTGTAATCTTAGTGTTCGACCTGTGTTTAATTTCCAATTTATGTGTATTTTTATAGAAAATTAATATTTGTTCCCTGTATTTAGTGGGATAAAACTAACGACCCGACGTCTGCCCACAAAAACTAAGTACGCCAGTTTGTATATATACATGTCGTTTTTCAGCGCTAATAAACACCTTTTCCCCGTTCGTCCCCCTTTTCACGCAATTCCACACTATTCAGGGACCTTAAAGTTTCTTCGCAGCGATCTCTAGGATATTTGGCGCAGCAACAATCGAAAATTTAATTTTTTTAGGATTGCATATCTGTAAAAATTATCAATTACAACTTAAAAGATGATAAAACATCAAAAATAAATTTAAAAAAGTAGTTATTTTGAATCCTTCCTTGTTAAGCATTCGTAAGAGAAAGAAAAGGAAATGTCTTCCTTTGCTTATAATTCCGTTAAAAAAATTACAAAAATTATTGTGAGTGTGGAGTTTGAAAGATACAGAGTTGCACTTTTTAAATGATTTGAGTTACATTACATACGAAGAATCCGTTCGTCTGCAAAATAGGTTCAAAGTTTGCCAAAAACAGAATTTTTCCAACTTTAGTGTCCTTTTTTTTAGAATCCTTGGGTGTGAAAATTTTTTCGAGAGCACATTTAGAGCGCTGATTATTTAAAGCAAATAGGACTTTTAAGATTTCATCGAGGTATTTAAAAAAAGGTTAAATTTTATAACACAGTGTAGTATTATGAATTTGCTTCTATGGGAGGCAAAAGAGGAGGTCGCACAGACTCAAAAATTTGTTTGCATACTATTCTTTGTAAAAAAAACAGAATGTGTAAAGTTTGAAGTCTGTGACTCAATTTTTAGAGTTTATGCCAAAAAAATCGACTTTTGGACCATAGTGCATTCGATACTTTTTCTAGCATGATAAAGATTTAAAGTTTTTAAATTTACTATTAAGACCACATTGTAATTTCGGTTTTGGTTGCTTTTTGAATTGGCACATGTATCTATAAAATAACTAGCTATATCCGGAGCGAATTCGTTCGCTTTAAATTAGTTTGGAAAACGGTTCTCAGGACTTTCTCATTTTTCACACCACCAATGAAAGAAGTTGACGCGTAAAAATCATTTTGTAAAACGATTACTTTAAAACCTTTTTTTTAGAAGATCCCTCAGGACCGGGAATCATAAGGCTACTGGCAGAGCTAACTCTAGAGAATGCGACATAAAATTGTCCATGAGAGAAGCAATCTTCTCTAAGATCTAGTTATTGCTAAGCAAACTTTTAGAGGGAATTATAGCCTCCTAGACTGAAACGGTAGACCGGATGGTATTAATGGTATCCCTGGGAATAAACACCGTTTCCCCCCTCGCACATCCCGTAAATACTGTTGCTAAGAGTGCATTCTTTTCAAAACTTTTTAACTGCAGTCGTGCAAAACTTTATAATCCAAATGAGAGTCGTGAATTTATATACTTTCTTTCATTTCAAAAATTACAAAATTATTGCACTTAAATTTACCTCGCTGGATGCGATAAATTTGAATTCGTTTCCAATTCCCAAATTAAACTTCGTTCTCCAAGTTGGAAAAATGCTCTAAAATTGTCAACTTTCGGGGGGTATTACAGCAAACGAATTTTTGGCTTGTTGTGGTGTCAAAGCATTTTAAAAGTGCAACTCTTTATCTTTTAAAAACATTGCTCAATTTTAATTTTTAAATTTTAATTTTAAAAGGTGAAAAAATAAAAGAAAACAGCCATAAAACATATAAACATACATATGCGGTCAAGAGTGTTCCCGCCCTTCGTTGTCAAAGGTTTGTTGTTGTTGTTTTGCATATCCAACTATTCCCAAAGTATAAATATAATCA